GACCTGCGAGCATCAGTAAGGCAGCAGCAACATCACCACCGCTGCACCTTCCAGTATGGCATGCACAAGCAGCCGGCGGCACCGCGACCACGACAGGCAAGCTGCATCAGTGACTGCGACATGGCATATGCGGAGTGAAGCTGGGGAAGTGAAGGGAAACGGTCACGCATGATGATGGGAGCCCCTTTTGCTCACAGCAGAATCTTCTCGCTACCGGCTATCTGAAGCTAAGCCCCAATCGCCGCTGTACCCCTGCTCGCTAGCGCGCCTCACAGGGCTTGGCGGGCGGGCTCCCAGCACTATAAGTTCTCGGCCTCCCCCCCAACTTTTTCACGAGATTTCCGCCGAGCCCGCCGTTGTCGCAACACCTCAACCTCTCTACACCATCATCGCCGCACTTGAAAACTCACATTTTCAGCTGCGTGCTCACTAACACTGCGACTCAAAAACTCCGGTGTGCTAAATCCGCACATATCCACTCTCTCAGAGGTCGCGATCGGCGCTAGCTTCATCCAGCTTGCGACAGCCCAACAGCAGCCTCATCCCCAGTCGCAATCTCGACTTACCCCGCCAAAGGCTTGCTGGCTACGCTTTTGGTCACCTTAATTACTCCACTAACTCGCCGTCGTCTCTGCGACAGCTTACTACTCGACGGCATACTTGTCAACGTTTGCGAGGGACACATTCGCTTGTAGCTCTCCTGCCTCCGGTACCGTCTCCACCTATTCCATAGACAGACACTCCTCCGGCGTCGACCGACCTCGCTCTACACATCGCGATCTCGTAGTCCGCCCGGCTTGACCGTCGCTGCCGCTTTAGAACACACTCTGACCTGCGCAGTCTGTCAAGATACCTCTCACTCTCCTCAAGAGTCTATCGCTCCAATTCCAATCATAAATTCATCATGGATCCAAACTCCCTGACTTCTCACCCGTCCACCGCCGCACAGGCTCAGACGGTAAGCTCTCGTGATGTTTCCCGTTTGTCAAACTTGTTCTAACGTTCGCTCTCAGTTCGTTGCTCCTGGATCTCTCTCCTACCCCCAGGGCGCGAACCTCGACCTGACTGCACCTGCCACTGAGCAGAACACTCAGCAGGTCGCCGAAAATGCGAACGGTGTTGCGACGCCTGCGGCTACTCCCGATACACAGAACGGTCAAGTGCCTTCTGGCATCGTGCCTACTCTCCAGAACATCGTGGCTACTGTCAACCTGTCCGCTCGCCTTGATCTCAAGACCATCGCTCTTCACGCCCGTAACGCCGAATACAACCCCAAGCGTTTCGCTGCTGTGATCATGCGTATTCGCGAGCCTAAGACGACGGCCTTGGTCTTTGCGAGTGGAAAAATGGTTGTAACCGGTGCCAAGTCTGAAGATGACAGCCGCCTTGCTTCCCGCAAATACGCGCGGATTATCCAGAAGCTTGGGTTTAGCGCAAAGTTCACCGTATGTTGTGTCGGACTGAGTATCCCTTCTTCAATGCTAACATTGACATAGGACTTCAAGATTCAGAACATTGTCGGCTCCTGCGACATTCGCTTCCCCATTCGTCTCGAGGGTCTTGCATCTCGCCATCACACTTTCTCTTCCTACGAGCCTGAGCTGTTCCCTGGTCTCATCTACCGTATGATGAAGCCGAGAATTGTCCTCTTGATCTTCGTGTCTGGCAAGATCGTCCTTACTGGTGCCAAGGTCCGTGAGGAGATCTACCAGGCCTTTGAGCTCATTTACCCAGTCTTGTCGGATTTCCGCAAGTCTTGAGCGACCTTCCCTCTCCAGATTCGGCTTCAACGAGCCTTGACTACACACCCCAGCTGGTGACATGGCTATGACTTGGACCTTTTCTTCTAACTTGTCATTTTTGCGGCATTGCATGGTGTTACGGTGGGCGGCATTTCCTTCTTCATGCCTTTTCAAAACTCCAAATTACCCCTCGACACGATTAGACATCTGCACGCGAGGTGCCTTCAACCCCTCTTAATCCTGGTCACGAAGGCTTTTTACTCTCTTCTCTTTTACTGGCGGGTATGATCACGTCGGCGGCTGGCGTGTGGGATGATACCGAGATTGCTTTATTGAGCCGAGGAAGGAACGTGTGGACGTTCGGAGAGTGCGACCGTAAAAGCTCGCACTGAGGGCTCTCAGAGGTTGACGATATGACACCAGAGTTCCTCATAGATGTTGGTGCTTCAAGCATCCATCGTATGTGTACATGACCCTTAGCCTTGAGACAGGTTAGGCAGTAATGTTATCATGACATAATACTTTGTTTCCCTGCTTGTGACGTGGTGTGGTCTGCGAGGGTGATGTCCTTTCCGTCCGTGGGCTTTGTTGCGTTCCAGTATGTGAGAAGTCCAGACCAGTGTGTACCTGTCGGGGCTCGGAAGGTCGTACGAGAGGAAGGGGCCAACGAAGCGGCGAACGATGAACTTGCAGGTGCGCTGCAGTCTCTTGCGTAGAAGAGGTCAATTCACCTGTAGCCGCATGTGCACTAAGCTCGGAAGGGAAAGTTGCGACAAACGCACTGCGACGTACACGCGCGTGGACGCAGGGAGCCTTTACGGGTGTCCATTGTGATGGAAGGCAAGAAACGATCAAAGTCGCAAGGTATTCGATCCTCGAAGTCCCAGCGAGAAGATGACTGTCGAGTTAGCAAGTTTCTAAGACATTTCTCGCTTCAAGCGGGTACTATATTAGACTTAAGTGTTAGAAGATGAGTTGCGCCGTTGCATGTCTCAGTTAGCGGTCGTAGTCTGCTTGGCTCGGGTAGGGGTCTTCGTCGATAATGTTTCGAAACATGACGACATGGAAATGACGTGCAGCGTTTCTAACAACGTCTGTACTATTGTTGCGGCTGAGGCTGTCGTGAGGGGTATAACGTTCTACTTTGGTCGTTGCATGAAGTGCAGAGAGAATAAAAAGGGAGGCGAGAGTTGAGATTTTTGATCGAGAACTGTGTAGCGAGCCGGATTATATCTACTGTCAGAAACGCTCCGCGTGATCAGGAATTTGTAGGGTAGAGGGTTAATGTGCGGGTGGGAAACGAGTGGGTCGCGCGCATATGCATGAAGCGCGCGTCAGTAGCTTGGCGCCTTCCTCCTCCTCCTTTCACAGCAACACCATGATCGCATAGCTCATCCTCACCTCAGTCCGCCATGTAGCCGCCATTTCACTTCTCTAGCCATAATTTGTAATATCCTCAGACCGATGCATACCTTCCTTACGCCTTACTACTACTGCCGCCGCCATGATGCGCATTCCACTCTTCCGCATCTGGTACTCGACCACGTACACGACCCTTCTCATAATCCTGCTCCTCCTCCTCGCCGTCACGCCTGCGGATACGATATATCAATCAATCAAATCTGAAGAACTTCAAAAGCTTTTTGTCATCGGTGGCGTCTACCTGCTCACTTGTTTGATCGTACTGTTGATCTACTCGACGCGCATCTACACAAATAGGACTGTGCTTGCGGCGATACCGAAGAGCTATGTGCCAATCGAGGAAGGAGAGGTGGGTAAAGGGGTGCGGAGGATGATTGTGAAGCATTTCAAGAGGAGTGCGGTCATTGCATGGGACAGCAGGCCGAGGGATGTTAGGGGTGAGGTTGACCTAGATGAGGAGAAAGGAGAGGAATCACGGCCGAACACAGCGGAGACGAGGAGGGAGAAGCACAAAGTGCACAAGAAGAAAGGCCACCATCACCATCACCATGCGCCTGATGCGACAATCATCCCCGTGTCTATGAACTCGCTGCCTTGGGGCAATGTCTCGCATCCTGGCTGGGCGTCCCCTTCGTCGCCTGATCTGCCAAACCTGCAGTACTGGGGCGTCATCTGCGAACTGCCCAATCTCATCGAAGCGAAAGCCGTTTCACTCGCGCCGCCAGACCCTGCGATCGAGGAAAGCGCTCCACAGTATCCTGATAATGCGCCACCTCTGCCGGATGCGCGCATTGTCACTCTCCTTCAGCGTCCGCGTGCAATGGGCTTGCGCGAATACCTCGCTCGCCTCGCAGACTTCGGGCTACTGAATCCACCCTCTCTCGGCGCTGCGTTCCTCGCACAATACGAGTACGCGCGATACTCTACCACGAGTTTGACGGAGACACAATTCAGAGATATCATGGCGGTCTTCGCAGAGATACTCAGTGGGATGACAGAAGTCGACCCCGAAGTTATCGAAGAAGCACGCGCACAAGACATCGAGTCTGATACGCGCAGCCTCGCACCCACAGAGTCCAGCTCCGAATCAAGCATCTCCTCGCACTCGCATCTGCCCTACCGCACACCCCAACTCGAGCGCCAAATCTCCTTGTCCTCTTTCAACAGTTCCCTCTCCACCTCCGATAGTAGTTCAACTCCACATTCACCTCAGACCGTCCGCACCGCACCATCGCGCCAACAGCGCAGCTCCACCGTTTTTGGCACGCCACGCACACCCTCACAAAGATCATATGCGGATGCAGAGTCGGACACAGGATCTGTTGTGGTTCATGAAAGACCGCGAAGAAGTCCAAGTACCTTGTTACCCAACTCGAGTGAGAGTTCTCTGGGCAGTGCTGGAAGTGTCATTCGCTTGCATCCTAATCCGAGTGAGGGAGACTTGCCGTACGAGTACAACATTGATGCTGGGTGAAAGGACGGGAGTGTGTGTTAGAAAGCACATCGACATTTCATGCATAGGCCTGTTTAAAACCGAGTCAGAGGCATAGCCGACATACAGCGACGTCCAGGGACGGGTTACAGGAACGATAAGAGACTTCCATAGAGAAGGAGAGGGACACGATAGTAGCGCCAGATTTCGGGGTCACGGTATCAACAGCACAGAAGTAGCGGTCTGTAGGGAAACGGCATCAATGGCCAGGAGGACAAGAAAGAAATCAAATCTGCGCATGCGGACGTACGCAGGAAGCATTATATTCAGCCAGCTTGGTTGAAGCGAAACGTCCAGCGAACATTGTATATAGCATTCACACCACATACCATTTTACTCTTCATAACATCATGTAATTGAATCATATTTCACAAAACGTTCGAGAAGATATTTACTTTCATCGTATGACCATAAGCCTTTATTGAGACTTACTCGGCCACCCAAACAGCAGCCATACCCATACCAGTACCAATGCACATGCTAGTAACACCAATGCTCTGCTTTGTCCTCCTCAGCTCTGTAAGAAGCGTGCTAACCTGCCTAGCACCTGTGACACCCAACGGATGTCCAAAAGCAATAGCACCACCCTTGGGGTTCACCTTCTTCTGGTCCAAGCCAAGTTCGTTGATGCAGTAGAGGCACTGACTAGCAAACGCCTCGTTGATCTCGTAAATGTCCACATCCTGCTTGTTCAAGCCAGTCTTCTCGAGGACAACGGGGATAGCGGCAGCGGGGCCGACACCCATCATGAGGGGCGGCACACCGACGATGGAAGCTTGGACAAACTTTCCAATGATTTTTTGGCCGAGGCGCTGAGCTGTGCTACGCTTCATGAGAAGAACGGCAGCGGCACCGTCGGAGATTTGAGAAGCGTTGCCGCCGTGGATGGAACCGTCTTTTGCAAACGCAGGACGGATCTTACTAAGAGATTCTGCGGTAACGCCCTCCCTGACACCATCATCCTTGGAAACAGTGATGGTCTCTTCCTTCTTGGTCTTGGGGTTCGTCCACTGGACGGTCACAGGCGCGATCTCCTCATCGAACAGCCCTTGTTTCTGCGCCTCGGTAGCCTTCTGGAACGACGACGCGGCGAATGCGTCTTGTTCGCTACGGGAGATACCCTTGGCCTTTGCCATTTGCTCAGAAAGTACACCCATAGGGACCTTGCAGTTTGCGGATTCCTTGTGGGATTCGAGGAGCTCAGAGAACTCAGATACGGCGCCAGGACCATACTGTGTGCTCATGCTCTCAGCGCCGGCGCCGATACCGACCTCGATCATGCCTGACTTGATGGCATTGGCAATGTCAACACATGCTTGTAGACCGGAGGAGCATTGCCTGTTCAAGCTCTTTGTTGCGGTTGTGGTAGGGAAGCCAGCGGCGAGGGCGGCGGCGCGGAACTCGGTTGCACCGCCTCCTGGGGCGAGGACAGCGCCAACAGCAATGTCTTCGACGAGGTTGGGATCGATGCCGGAGCGCTCGATGAGGGCCTTGTAGGCGCCGTGGAGGAGGTCGGATGCTTGGGTGTCTTTGAAGCCACCCTTTCCGCCCTTTGTGATGGCGGTACGGAGTGCGCAAGTTACGACAATCTATTGGGGTGATTGTTAGTACAGTACTCCGCAGACAAGAAGAGCCCTCAGGTGTGTAGACATCACGAGGCAATGCGATAGGCTCGAAAGCGCTAGTGTCGCATCGATCGAAGATGGGGTGTGCAACTCACGTCGTCAGGCTTCTTCTCCAGCAAACTCTTCTTTCCCTTGGAGCTCACTGCTCCAGGGCTCCCACTTCCACCTGTGAGATGGCCCTCGACCTGCGTAAGGCGTTCCTGAACTTTTATCAAACGTCAGCGATCTCGTTCATCACTTGTTGTCCTCGCTCCCTATGCTCTATCATAACATACCTTTGTTGGGTGCTTGGTTGGCCATTTTGAATAGTAATGTTAATACAGAAGCTGTGTAAAGAAAGAACTAGAGAAGGGGGCTTGGAGTGAAGTATATGGAGCAGCGGACACTACTGTTCGGTCGCGGCAAGCATTAGGTCATTCGCATGCGAATCGCCGAGGTACGTTACGTTTCAGGTTAGCTCGTTTATGGGGCGCGTCATCCTTTCTGGGGGAGCTAGCTTTCACATGCTCAATATGCGGGCGGCTGGGGTGTCTGCGGACGCTTCACATGTCAATCTGCGCAGTTTAGAAACGTTTCCTGATCATGTGCTGCTTCGTGGAGCTGACTGCTGAGTTGCTGATGCTGACCGAAGTCATGTCGCACCAACTAGTGGACGTGCAGGTATCCGAGGTGAAGAATATGGTATTGGCGACCGTCTAAAGCCAACGGACACACCGACTATAAGTTGTTCCTCAAGAAGTCTACCAAGCGGAATATTGAGATAATGTGACAAGACATGTCTACGGCCATGTAAAGCCGACTGCCCCGGAACGCCATGCTCAAACACATCCATCTAATCATGAAAATATTCTTCGGCTCACCGCCTTGCTTCTTCTTCCTGCCATGGATTATTCATCACCTGTCTCTCCAGTTCGTCTGCAATGCTACCTCTCTGAACCTCCTCATATCCTGGCGGTGGGTCTGACGGAGGCTCAAAATGCTCCTGTTGTGTTCGCGGGCTCGATAACGGACTGGATGCTTGTGGGCTTGATGGCGTGGGCGCCGCAATAACAGGACCGCCGGTACCGAATGCAGAACCATCCAAAGGCGGGCTAAGAGGAGGCTCTGGAACTCTGGCGTGTTGTCTGCTCTCCTCGTATGCAGGTAGGTCTTCCAGGTGTACGTTGTTCATGTTGACACCGCCAACGCCTCTGCTTCCATCTTCCATGTCACCACCACTCTCCCGCGCTACCTCGACAGCTTGCCGTAACCGCTCCTTTAACCGCTCGAATATGCTTGCGAAGTCAAACGCGCCGCCTTCCTTGAACTCCATAACCAGGTCTAGCTCGGCGTGCTGTGGTGGTATGCCGCCACCTTGGACGGGCTGGATGATGGCTTCCCATTTGTTTGCGCCGAACCAGGGTGCTGTTACGCGGGAATCTGTGACGTTGAGGATGGGTACGGCGAAGGATTGGAGTTGTGGTGTAGGGGTGACGGGGAGGTAGATCATCTAAATGTGAAGGTTAGTCGGCAAGGTCCACAAAATGGTGAGGTTGTATACATACCCGTCGATTTGTGAGGTAGACAACGCCCGACTTGCATTGCTGCGAGTACGACTCGCTGGGGTGATTCCGATGGCTAGTCTGTAGCGAGAGTGTGGTTCGGGGAGGAGACTGGTAGAGTGTCTGTTCGCCAGGGAGAGGTGTGTACCCGCCATTCTCAGCGAGCATGACCCAACTAGTTTTGCGGTTAGGCTTCGTCTTCTTCATCTTTTCCGTCTTGAACCCCATTCTGCTATGCTGAAATGAAAGTTGCCTCAAAAGTACGCCCAAAAGCTACATGCACAATCCGCGGGGTAGTAGAGGGGCAAGAAGCGCAGCAAGCAAACACCACCAGGTCAGGACGGAGAGAGTATAGACGGAAAGAAGAGAGAGGGAGGAGAGGATACTAACTTGACAGACATGGTTGAAACCGACTTGCAGCAAACTTGTTCACGGATAAAGCGTGAATAGTTCGCCCACCAAAGTGTCAATGCAAGCCAACCTTCCTTGTGGGATTGCACTAAGTGTGCCTGCGTGTGAAGTGCCCGCCTGGATATCTATCGGCCCGACCACCGCTGCCTATCAGATGCCGTGTTGCGGTTCCCGCGCAAATGCGAATGATCTATTTAGCGTGTTACGTGGGGACGAACGGTGGGGTTGCTAAGGTCTCGAAGTGCGCTGGGGCTGCCTGTCGCGGCGAGCGCGGTTGTCGCGAATGCAAAAAGTGTGGGTTGGAACGGGGTTTATGAACGGCGGGACGATGCAAGATGCAAAGGTGTGCTCTTAAAACGTGTATGCAGCTCGGGTGCGGTATTTACGTATTCCGACCAAAGACTCCAGGATTGATGCTTTTGTAATAGGTAATGCAACGTTCTGCAGCTGGTGACGATCCCGTGAGACAAGCTTGCGTCACTTGCTGTTTGTGGAACTTCCAAGCCTTCCAGGCCTTAGGCATGGCAGTCATCGGGCGAGATTAGGCGGAGCACAACGCGTGTTGATCGTACAAACATGCATACGTTCACAGATCTCGTTTACTCTTGAGTGGTATGTTTCATTCATAGCCGTAGCCGTTACTTATCAAACGCCATTACCCGCCCGCCGCTAATGCTAACAATGACTCGATCGACACATACAGTAATGACTCGGAGTAGACAATCGCTATATGCTAGAGACAAAAATAACACACCAACACAAAACATTCAAGGCTCCTCCCTCTCGGTGACCGTCCAGCGCCTCTTAGGCCCTTGACGGTGTTCATACACGTCATCCAACTTTGGTGGTCCCCAAAGCCCAGTATTGCTCTTTGGGGCTACTTTCGCGCCCCAAAGACCGCCAGATGCTGTCGGAGCGCTCTGTTTGCGGACTTGAGCACTGACTAGAGGAGTGGGTTTATCGCTGACCTCCCTTTCTTCTTTAGAGTCCAATTTTGTCAGGTGGTTGCTTGTGTCAGATGCACCGTCCATCTGTGCAATCGAGTTGCTCTTGGATTTGGATGCAGTGGAAGTATTAGGAGCAGCCTTTGATTGTGGATGCTGGTTTGAGAAGTTGAGGGCCATGTCCGCTTCGGTCGCCGGTGTGCTTGTCCCTGAACCTCCCCATAGTCCGCCTGCTGGAGACGCAGTCCCGCTTGTCGCACTTTGCATGAATCTGGAATTCGATCCAGAGCTCAAAGTTCGCCGCATGCTTCCCAACGAGCTCAGACTGTTTCTGTATGGCTCACCGAGCGAGAAGGGCGAGTCAAGTGGACTGCTAGTCGTCGACGATCCCGTGAATCTTCGCCGCGAGTCTAACGATGGGCTTGCTAGGATGGCTGGAGATTGTGTCTGCCTCTGCGCAGATAGCGGCTTCGAAGGGTCAACACCAGGCCGCAGATGATCGACTGAAGCTGAGAGCTTCATGTCGTAGGTATCTGACATGCCGGGATCCGCTACCGAAAGTCTCCGCTGATGTATTGTGGCAGGTGCGGGTGTCTTTTTAGGCTCGTCTCTCCGAACGGCCATGGAAAGCGATGCTAGACCAATGTCCATCAAGACGGGCTGGTTCGTCATGGCACCTAGCAGAGCATTGCACCCTGCTCCATGAGTTATGAGAATCAAAACCAGCTCTTCCTCATCATCCGCATTTGGATCGTCGCTGAAGTTTGGGAATGGGTCTGACTTGGCGTGCGATATGGGCGGCGGTGTTAGGCGCAAGGGTTCCTTAAACATGAAGCCAGGAAATTGATCCTTCGGGGGCGCTGTGCCGTGGACTCTGTACCACTCCATCATGCCCGCAAGGCCTCTTCTAAACCGCTTGTGCATTGTGCTCCATTCATCACCGTACTCTCCGCCATCGCCCCAGTTTTGTGGTGGACGCATACTGTCCCATTGGAAGTCTACTTTAACGCAGGCTTCTTGGGCATGCGCGACGTAGCCTCGCGGTATCGGATCGGCCGGAGAGACAGAGTATGAAGGGTTTGGCGGCTGGTAAATGCGTTTGGGTACAGCAGTGGGCTTTGGCGTTTGTATGGGCATTGCTAGTGATGCGGTTGCTTCTCTTGACGGCGTTCTTTCGAGGCCCAGTGGGCCAGCGTAACTGCTGGAGCGTTCACGCAGCGGCGCAAACTGTGCCAGACTGCCCATGGCTGTACCAGCGCTCTTGCCAGTGGTGGGTGTGCTGGTCCCAGACCCCCAACCGCCGGGAAAGTTGCCCTTGGTACTGTTCGGGTTTGGCTGTTCTTGTATGTAGTCGCCTCTCCGCAGTAGATCTGCTTTGGCGCCTGCCACCATCATGGTCGAGTTTGGCGGCGCTGTGATGTCAGCGTAGTATTCGGGAGACAGCCATTCGCCCAGGAAGGCATCGATGCGTAGCAACACCCTCTCCGGGCCTGTGTGGGGTCGCGGTAGTATCTCGAGATTGGGGTCGGCGAGCGGTTCGAAGGTTCGGGGCTGCGACGAGGTGGACTTGGTGCGCGGCGCCTTCTTCGCAGAGGGTACCAGCGAGCCATTATTGTCTTTGGAGGGGGGTGTAGGCACGCCCAATTGTGGCGTGGTCGGAGCATGGTATTGCGAGATGCCCGCTGCTACTGCCGTGCTCGTCTGGACGCATCGTAGGAAAGGGCTCGAGTGTATAACGATCTTGCGCTTCTTCTTCTTCGGTTTCCCTTCTTTCGAGATGCTCAGCTTGCTCAGGTCGAGATGTGCGGGGTCGTTGCTGGTCGCGTTCTTCGCATCCTCTGCCTGCTGGATATCTCGCTCGTGCAGCAGTGCCGCTATGCGCTGGCCAAGTGCCTTTGCCTGCGACCACCCGCCATAAGTGAGAGGCGGGTCGTAGGGCGTCGGTGAAGAGAGATGCCATGCTTTGTCGGCCGCATCGAGACGCGCGCCATGTCTGCGCAGGATGTTAGCGATCTAGCCGGAATGTGGAGCCGTGAAGGGTGGGTGAGACGGTACCTGGCGACGACTACGACTGCAGGACCCTTTGCCATGCCCCGCTAAAGATGGCTCGCGTCTTGCGTGCAGGAAGAGTCAGCTTGCCTGTGCGACTGTGGCAGATGTGATGCGCCTCCAATACGAATAAGCAAGTTGGTGGGCTTTATGTACGAGGATTGGGAGGACGTGAAAAGAAAAGTCGAGTAGGCGGCGGCAAAGCTGCGAGTCGTCAAGTGATGCTCCAGGGTTCAACTGTAAGTTTGCGACCCTGCATTGCAGAACGCTATGACACCATCGTCGCCCGCAAACACAACTGCAGCGAGCATGCCACCCTCGTCCCTCGCCCAAACACAGCTGGAGCGAGCCCAGGGCCACCTGCGTGTTTCGCCGCCCCGCTCCGCTCCGTTGCAGTTTCTCCGCCGTGATACGTTTACGCACGTCTTGTTTACAAAACAGAAAAACAAACTTGTCGCGCCCCCATATGTCATCTCGTCTTCCGCCGGCGGAGTTAAGACGCCGGTGGGGCCCTACGAGCAACGCCACCAATTTGCATGTGATGACTGATCTGGATTGACTAAACACTCCTACTCGAGATAATCTCCGTTTGTCTCCTTGTGTATCACGTCGAACAACGGCTTCGCACTGAACCACCCGGCCAGCGTACTCCCAATCGTCTTGTGTGTGTAGACCGCGTCCTCCTCCGTAATCTTCACAGTCTCTCCGCCTCGTCCCGCCGCCGCCGCGTCCGCCATCAGCTGTGCTTGACAGCACTTCTCCATGCTTATGAACCAGAACACCGCCTCCTCCACACTCTTGCCCACGGTCAACAGGCCGTGGTTCTGAAGTAACGCCGCCTTCTTGTCGCCCAGGCACTTTGCAATGTTCTTGCCCTCCTCCGCGGCTAGTACGACGCCGTTAAACGACTCGTAAATAACGTGGTCGTTGTGGAACGCGCACGAGTCTTGGGTGATGGTGTCCAATTTGCGACCCAGTGCGCAGAACGTGCGGCCGTAGATGGAGTGCGAGTGTGCTGCAGCGATGACATCGGGGCGCGCGTCATGGACAGCATGGTGTATCATATAGGCTGCTGTGTTCAGCAGTCGGCACTCTCCACCGTCGATGACTTCGCCTTTATCATTGACAAGGATGAGATCGGAAGACTTGATCAAGCTGAAAGCAACACCGAATGGGTTGACCCAAAATGTTGTCGGATCTACAGGGTCCTATATGGTCTTAGTATCTCGTATGCCTGTTATGTGCTCTACTTACCCTCAACGTGATGTGACCAGCCACACCTTCGTCAAAGCCATATTTGCCAAAGATGCGGAAGGCAGCCGCAAGTCGGCCCTTCAGATATGCGCGCTCTTTGTACGGATCGTCAAACTTTGGCGGCTTGGGGAATTTAAGCATCTCCGCCTTTCCATCTTTCTGGTTCAGACCAGGCTCGTTCGGGGCAACCGTGTTGGGCTTGGTCTCGTCGCCTGCCTGGGGCTCAATTGCCGACGGAGGAGACATGTTTGTGATTCTTGAGCTGTAAAGTTGACAAGAAGTGGGGATTGTACAATGGAGAAGAGGTCAATAGAAAGCCTTGGAAGTGACAGCTGGAAGAAGGCACGTTCTCTGTAGTGTCAACAAATGGAAGTCGCGATGCAGTGACTGCCTTCGTACGAGGCGAGATAGACTTCCTTTACCTCGGATCTAACACGTAACTCTATCTGTCTAACACGTAACCATATCTGTTCAAGAGCATTATCGGAAATCGCCCGACCACCACTATCCGGCGTTTACGACGTCAAAGCAGATGCCGTGGTTGGTCAGGTCCTGATAACTGGATGCAGGTGCGGGGCATATGCGCGGGGTAAGCCCTGGATACCGCTCTTCGGCATCCTAGGCAAGCGAATGCTCACGGCGGAGACATAAAACTTCCCGTGATTACAACTGATAGTATCAAGGTGATATCTGACAGCAAGAACATACATGCGTAAATGGGGTTGATGTCCCCAAGGTGGGTGAGAGCTTGATGTCTATCACAGTGTGGTTGTATCTTATCTATCAGAACGTTGAAGTTGGGGTCCGCACTTTACGACGATGTTGAGAAGACAACGCTGATGCTCTAGGTTGGAACGACTGGAATGTAGTCCCCTGTAATACTTATTTTCGGCGGACATCCTGCACCTTCGACCATCAGAGACAGTACGAAGACCACCCTGCATCATGTCGTGCAGCCGGAGGATGGCCACACAGCTGCAGCATACTCGAGGTCTAACGCAGCGCCACTCTGCCACTACAGGGCATACATGAGCTGATCTGTAGAACATATTGCTGCAAGCACTCTATTGGGCGAAAGATTCAGGCATCACACTGCATCGCTGGAACTCAAAAGTCTCACATTACAATCTTCAAATTGATAGAGCCATTGAGTGAATCCCAAGTATTTATGCCTTCTTGTAAACATGCAGGCTGACCTCCACCGGGTAATACCACTCTTTTCACGACGTATGTATGACGGCATTCTGGTTCCGCGAGTCGTTCTCGAGAAGGACAACCCACAGTAAGTTTCATGCACGAATGCATGCAGCCTCATCGTGATGGGCACGGTGAGACCGAGTCGTGTCAGAAGCTGTGATTGACGTTCTGACATGCCGCTTTCCCGTGGCGGTGCCACGAACGTTCAGCTGAAAGAAGGTTGCCTCGCTTGTAGCAACCAATATGAAGTGGAGTTGTCCTGGTCAAAATAACAGACTCGGACAAGAAGCGAACCGTTCCACCTGATGCTGCATGGCAATTTCAAAATCAAAAAGATGAAAGCCAATCAGCCATGATGCGCATGGGGGTGCGGCGAACCCGATTAAGTGGGGGTCGCGCACTGTGATCAGACGGGCTGCTCCCGTAAAATCGATCGGCAGTCTGTTCGCGGTACTTGCGCAGTGACTTCAGATGTAGGGGATATTCCCGTGTCAGAGACTGAGCAGCACGCTTGAGCGAGTCGGCACTGGGTAAGATCAACACTTGTGACATTCTGCGCGATCGAACGCTATTGTCTCGTGAACTTCGTTTGTGGTGGATTTTGTCATACCCCTTCTTCAAAGGGTAATGAAGTTCCATTTCAGTCTCACCGGAGAGTTTCTGCAATGCGCTCCACCGTTCGTAGGTAGCCGAGAAGTAGCGTGCGTACAGTCGGAAGAAAGCATGCGCACCTAGAGGACTGTATCGGACCACCCAGGTGTTGTAACATTTGTAAAGCTACGTTGCGACGTTTGGTAACGCTCGGATATCTCTTCTAACTTTCAGGGCTGATAACTATCCGATTGAAGGCATAGCTGCGCACTGGTACCGTTTTTCGTAGGAAGTATGGTCCATCACAGGGTCGAACCATAATTGCAACTCTGGAACAGGGTGACATTTCGTCCCAAGCGTCAGGAGTTCACCGATAGCTGATGGATGCGCCACCGCTCAGGGTAGCGCCACGTTGTTCAATAATATTGAATTGCCTGCATCCACTGCATATGGAGTGTCGGCAGTGAGCAATCGAACAGTGTCCGAACAATGACGCCTGATGCGCATCATCGATGGTGGAGACGCGCATTACCGCCGATATTGTTGAATGCTTCCCAAGTTTGATGCGGCCTTTGCTAAGAGCACGCGATGTTGCGATGGACTCCACACTTGGATACTCATTCGCAAGCGTTGTCTGAGCTTGCTCAAAACCCAATGCCTTACAGGGTGCCTGAGCACGAAGATCCCAAACGTGGATCAATCAAAACATTTCCTTGAAGAGTAATCCAGGCTTTCGGAATGGGACAACGATTGGCTCTGCAGGTCCGGACCGCGACGACCTGCCACCGGGGATCCAGATGATGTGATTTGGACCCGGTCTCTCGAGCCCGATGCCAATTGCTTGACGCGTGGTGCTCCCAATAAGGAATACTGCAGATGATAAAGTGCCAAAAAGGTTATTGGTAGGATGCGCCATCGTCTAAAGCGACTAGGGCTGGAGATGGAGACAGCCTTGCAAGTGGAGATAGGTGGAGGTCACGATCTGCGGCTAGAGTCCAAGCTCTCGCATGACGCAGCGTGGGGACGCGAAAAAAGAACAAATCCGACGAAACAATCACACGGGAATAGAATGGATTGCCAACCGAGAGCAGCCTTACAATGTTCCTGCAGATTTTTCTTTCTTTCGGATTTTCTCTCTTGGATCAAAATGTCCGTCTGGTCGTTTGATGTCGTCTAAAGACGTGTCCAACCATGTCATTGCGGATCGATAAGCGAGCTTTGCCGGGGAAGCCAACATCGACAAAAAAGGCTAAAAGGAAAATGCCAAAAGCCATAAACGTGTCGACTGCTTCTCTCCGCGGCTGGTGAGTGGCTCTGCTGAGACCCCGGGCATCTCGTGTACCGATTCCCGGGCAGCGCGAGCGATCGATGTGAATGGTGGGTCTTGTTAATTCCCTGCTCCCATCAGCTCTGCACACTGCCTTAGCGGGCCGCCCATCGCTGATGCCAGAAGCAGATCCACTCCAAGGCCTGCAGATGTTGGCGAGAAAGCGATTTCAATGGGCCGCTTAATCCAAGAGCGGGAGGACCGTTCCTCCGCCCGCAGATCCACCTGGCCTCTTTGCGACAGTTCAGCACCCATTGTGGTCTACACGAGGTCCACATCAGAGGACTTCGGTCAACCCCGCCTCTATCCTAAACTCCTTCTACCTTAGCGAGACATCCCGTGCGATCTTCTAGACCTACGGCAGACATGGTCGCCGACCACCATTAGAAAGAGCTAGCGGGTTACTGGTCTTCGCTTGTGCGTTATTGTGGCTTGCCTGAGAACGACATCGAACTCATCGGTCGTTCCTTTGATCGACGCCTCGTCGAGCATGCAAGGAGACAGCACCCTGGCGGGAGCGGAGACGGATATGGCGCTCTGTGCTGTTCGTCCAAAAGCAAGCATGCAAAATGAAACGCTAGACATGTGATGTATCACTCCTGCAGAATACATGTCGTGGACATGGTACACACTACCGCTCTACTGGAATCTTGTTCTCCGACAGTCTAGTACAGCCCCGAAGAGCTGCAGATCTCACTAAGCTGTGAGGGACGAGGATCTTGACCACTCCCCCCAAGGCTCTGGTGACTACGCTGGAAGCCATGATAGCTGTATGCTGCCAATCTTGAACAAAGAGCTCTTCTAGACCGGCAATAACGTATAGAGAGTGGTAGATCTGCTGATTGGTCTCTTGGTCTGACCAAATGCTGACTGATGTGAAGGTCACTCTAATCACCATAGCTCAAGCTTCCCCACTCCGTCCAAGTCCTTAGTCGCATTGGCTTGTTGTAGCCGACTACGAGGCAAGCGCAGCCTCCCCACGTACTCCATACGGTGGAGCTCATGCACCATGCTTGCGCGTCAATGCACTCACTCATGCCAAAAACGACTTACCAGACGTGTCATGCTCGGTTACGATGCATGATCGCCGACCTGCATTATCGACCTTAGGGTTGTCTTGAGCTATCCATGAAGCTCATCCTGGCTCAGCTGAATTAGCTCATGCGGGTAAGAGCTGTTAACACACTTTGGGGCATTCACCAGCTCACACTATGACGATAAGCTGTTGATCTATACTATCAAGGTACATATGCCCCGCTCGTGGTCTGTGAGGTCCACCTCAACCGATCGTAGCTGTAGAAGGTATTTCATTATATAGAGACGGCTCGTGGACTACTCGGTACATATTCTTCATGTTACTTCCAATCCATGTTACAGATTTTCAGTAAGTCGCCATCTTTTCCCACATAGCGCTGTGCTGATCCCCCTCCTCTAGAGAGACATAAAAAGAGACGCTCCCAGGCAACTGAAGATCCTCAAACCACAAATAGACGCTCATCCTCCCTAGCATCTATTGAGACTGACACAACATCGTCTCCTCCTTCTACGAGGTATTCATCTTCGCCGCCGTCATTACCAGTGTCCAAAGGCCGACCATCTCCTGCACAGATCAGTTACTCTTCCTCAGCAGTACCTGAACTTCGACTTCACACAGTACCTGAAGCTACTGTGAGACCTGCTCCAGTGATAAGGAACTCCTTGCCACTCTCAGCGTCAGCATCTTCCACCTCGGCTGTATCTACACCGACTCGTGTTATTCCCACAACACCGAACTCAACAGGCCGTAATACACAGCTTGTTTTTGAATTGTCTCCACAGCCAGACAGTCCAAATTCTCCATCTCCTGTCCGCTCTCAACCATACAATCCACCCTCCCCATCACCCATCCGGCCCTCAGTGAGCGCCTCAGTCTCCACTGAATCCGTAGATACAATCAAACCACTACAACCTTCGACGCCTATCATGCAAACAACTCGACCCACTTCAAGTCGGCAGCAGACAAACGGCGCGAGTGCGGTGTTGTCACCACCGGCTTCGCCCCAAGCTCTCTTCCGTACAAAGGGCCGTCTTCCATCATTCACATCTTCTCGCGCAACTAGCGGGAACTTCAGCACAATGATGTCGTACAACAAGCGAGGAAATAGCAACAGCCACCAAACCTCATTGGTCCAGGACTCGGCTGCCTCTCTCCGGAAGAGAAGTGCGGCCGAGTTAGGCGCAGGCGTTTACCAGAGCATCGGCAATGTCTCCTATGTTGCGTTTCTTGAATGGATCAGGTCCGAGCGTCTAACCACACTCCCCCACAAGGGTAGTCGTTGGGACAAAGTTCTGATCCGCGCGCTATACTTCGCTGAGCAGCTTCACAAATTCGAGCTAGCTGTGAGGCCCTTTGCCCAGGACAGCAGTTCAGCAGCCATCATCGGGTATGGTCATGCGCAGCTGCTTCTCGAGCTTAGCCACCACAACTCTGAGGCTCTTGACAAGGCTTTCTCCGTCTTCT